GGGACGTGGAAAAGTCCCCGATTTCTAATATTTAAAGATCCTGCTCCACTTGACTTAGAATGTTCATCTATTGTGGAGAGGAGAGACAGTGAGGAGGTTGGCCTTGATCAGTTCTCCCAGGGTGTGCCAAAAATTTTACTTTTCTCAAAGGAATCCTTCCCGGAAAAATCATGATTCTATCTCACCCATAAATCACTGGCTTGAGACCCATCGTCACGATAAGAACGAAAAGAACAAAAAAATTTTGTTTTGGTAAAAATTCGAAAAACCGGAAAACTGCTACGCGTTCAAATTCCCGCCGGACATCTGTCACAAATGCTGGCGGCGGGAACGCTTCCACTTTTTTACGGAGTGCTGTCACTAGATCTTTCTCTAGTCTCCAGAATCTAACGCTTCAACTGGATTCTTCCAATGCGTAGCCTGACACGCGGCCGCGCCCACGGTCAAGCGAGTCGGCGAGGAAAATTTTATAATACGACCCCCCTCCACGCAGCAGCCGAAGCCCATGAAATGACCCTCCTCACAACGAAGTAAGAAAAAGTTGTTGAACTCTCCTCGGGACCGTTCTTTTAGGAAAAACTCTGCTGCTCCACCATCCATCACAAAAGCCGTCTGTCGAGTTGCAAAAGTAAAGAAAAATCATCAATCCCTTGATGTTTGTCCTCCGACAGTGATGACCCTACTGCATCAATCTGGCCCGACGCCTTCATCCCAGCGAGGCGAGTACGACCCCCCCCCTGTCGACCAGTCGGATTCCTCAACGCACGCTTGACCCTGGCCGCACCACTTCTTTCCATGCCCGCCTTTGGCTCCGCGCGACTTACCTTCGATGTCCATAGAGTGTGGTTTTTGTAGTTTGTTTCTCTTCGGAAACCGAATCTTCATGCGTGAAACTTTGTGTGCTGTTTCCAGTGATCACAACTGACATACATTCATGTTGGGAAAGAATGCAAGATTTTCCGGGAAGGATTCCTTCAAGGGTAGACGTCGAACGGTTTCAAGACAATGTGCTGGAGCAGTTTCTGTTTGTCAACCTCTCACACAACCTGTCACCAGCACATCCTCGTAAACAACGTGGGAGCTGTGATCAAATAATACCTGTTGATCATGTAGATGACGGCGGAATATCTTGTCACAGCACTTTTTAGCCTAGAATAATCATAACAGAACAAGTGATTGCTTTGATCTTACCGTATACTCGAGAAAATCCTCACCATTTTGGAAATGTGCAGATTGGCAGTGTAAAGGAACCATTTCATCTCGCGTCCTTTTGCCCATGAGGGATTTTGTATACGCGAAGTCTAAAATGGAAATCTCAGTGAATATTCGCCAACTTATCGCTAAAGCAGGTTTTTTGGTACAAGATTGGGGTATTATTAACACGTTGACGACCGTGTGGTATGATGTCATACCACACTCTTTCGGCCACGTGGGACCGTGTGACATGATGTCATGTCACAGTCTTTTTTAAGCTGGTTTTCAAACATTTTAGGTAACTTATTTACGTGATGTATGCGCCATACTTAGGCATTGTTACAAAAGGCGTGGTCCCTGGAAAGAAGCTTCGGTTGATGGGCTATCGAGTTTTTCTAAAAATGTTTGAATAATGATCAAATCACAGGAATCGCTAAAATGGCCAAAATCGCATAATCGGAGACCTACCACACAAGAAAGATAACAAATACACACTTCCTGAGAAAAAGGAGTTCTCGTGGGACCGTGTGACATGATGTCATGTCACACTCGCGCGGTCAAAATAATGCGCGCGGTCCCACACGCCAGACAGCGAAAAATAGCGCGGTCGTCAACGTGTTAAAATCAGGAACTGTTAGCAGCGGCTGTTTCGAAATATGCCGTAATAAGATATTGCCTGAGAGTAACCAGATACAGAAGGCAGCCCATCCTACTATATATAAGCGGCTAGCGTGTGTCTGTTGGTGTGTGTGTGTGTGTGTGTGTGTATGTTTGAACGGAAATTCATAGCTCGAGTCACAGTAATGATAGCGCAGTGGTTCTTACATATGTTATAGGGGGTGGGATGGGGACACAAGTGGTACGTGATAGGAACTGATAACGACTGATAATAGCTGATAAGAGGGGCTAGAAAGCGAGCATCGCCAATTTCGTTTTGTCGTTCATATTGGTACTAGAGCGTCTATACTTACAAGTCTTATGTGGGGCGGTCCCGGAACATTGGTGGTACATGATTGGAAGCGATAGCAACTGATAATGGCTGATAAGATGCGCTAGAACGCAAAAGTCGTCGATTCCGTTGCCTGGCTCGCGTTGACACCAGAGCAACCATACTTACAAGTGTTATGTGGGGTGGGACGGGGACATTGTTGGTGGGTGCCAGAAACTGATAACGATTGATAAGGGCCGATAAGGCGCGCCAGAACGCTGAAGTCGTCAATTTCGTTACGCAGCATTGACACTAGAGCGTTCCTACTTACAAATTGTAGTATGTCGTAGTAGTACAAACAAAGGTACGTGCACATTATTTCGATATATATCCAGCTTACTTAATAGCAGTCGATTGCATAAATTCAATCAAGTCTTCAGCAAATGATAAGTTTCATTTCTATCACGAAAGCCCAGACTCATTAAACCGCTAATCCTTTCGGGTTCTAAATAATGGTGAATGTAAATAAAATGATAAGCCTTAGCTCCTCACTTATGTAAATAGGCATATTTCGTTTTAATTTTGAGACTGACAGCAATCCTATTCACCGCTAAATTATCTTAATTCAAGAAAAATGCTGGATGTTTACAGAGTTGTGATCAATATACCAGTTCAGCTCAGACGTTATCACGCGTATTCTCGATGAGCTTCAGTGAAACTGTGGAGGGTCTAACACAGTCAATAGTGAGATGGTTAATGGAGTATCTCATGCTGATATTCCATGGGTCCTCCAGTTTCGCTAAAGCCTGCCGTGTGATGCACCGACTAGCGGCAAGCAAAACTAGGTCATATAAATAAAAAGACAAAGGAGCGAGCTCTTGAGTGTAGCCATTGATGCTCTCGGCTCGTGTCAATAAAATCGGTTTCGCTGAAGTTCGAATCTTGTCACCAATTTGTATGCACACCACATGTGCAGTGCGTTGCAAAATCATAAGACACCCCCAAAAATTGAATATCTCGGCTTCTAGAAAAAGACGTCTATCGCAACTGGTAGAATCAGAACCGCCTCTATAAAAAACCTATACAAACAAGTAGCCAGATCATCCGAATAGTTTTCCGTATTTTTAGACAATTTTTTTAGTTTTGTAGCCGTTGCAAAATCATAGGACACCCCTCGGAAGTCTCCTTACAGTTGAATTTTTTTATCCATCCAGCAACGATGGTAGCACTTTTCCGGTGTATGGTAACTCTATTAGAGTTACAGTTTGAAATGCTCTCCTTTCCCTCCGCGAGTGAAAGCCAGACTTTCTTTTTATACGCGCCTGATGGCTCTACCATGAGCATCGAAGCCATTTTTAGGAGCTCAAAGAAAACCATAGCTTGGTGCTCCAAATTCTCACTACGAATAGAAATAAGAGTGCACCAGGATAAATAGCAGAAGTTCTCTAAAGGATTAGCTATAACCTCGAAGATTACATCAAACAAAATCACCATGTACGGTCAACCTGTGTCAGCTCTACGAAAGAAGGATAGAAATGAAATCCTATAGCAAAATCACTGGACAACTAGCGTAGGGTCCTACGAAGTCGTGACTTGAATGCTCGTTAGGCCCGTCCTCACTGAACCGGAGAAGACAAATCTTACATGAAGCCAGTGGGCCGAAGCTTACGGCTTTGCTGAGCAGCAGCAACTTTTCATGAAAAATAATAAGTATTGGCCATTTCCAGACCGCAGCTTCTTCGGTAAATGTGAGGTAGCTTACTTTGATGTTTAGATAATGGCGATTCGGCTCGTCTAAAAAAAAATAAAGAATAATATAATTAAATAAAAATATGGGGCCAAAATATTATTAATTTATTCAACAAAATTTCGTATATTAATTTTACAAAAAAAAAAAAAAAAAAAAAAAAAAAAAAAAAAAAAAAAAAAAAAAAAAAAAAAAAAAAAAAAAAAAAAAAAAAAAAAAAAAAAAAAAAAAAAAAAAAAAAAAAAAAAAAAAAAAAAAAAAAAAAAAAAAAAAAAAAAAAAAAAAAAAAAAAAGAGTGAGGATGCGTAACCTCATCCTGAGTTCCAGACCTGAAGTTTCTCTTCTCTGGTTTCAGTCAGAACGCCTAACGAGCATGGCAGCACGCTTCGCAGGACCCTACGCTAGTTGTCCATATCAGTGATTTTGCTATAATTTCATTTCTATCCTCTTTCTTTCGTAGAGCTGACACAGGTTGACCGTACATGGTGATTTTGTTTGATGTAATCTTCGAGGTTATAGCTAATCCTTTTAGAGAACTTCTGCTATTTATCCTGGTGCACTCTTATTTCTATTCGTAGTGAGAATTTGAGCACCAAGCTATGGTTTTCTTTGAGCTCCTAAAAATGGCTTCGATGCTCATGGTAGAGCCATCAGGCGCGTATAAAAAGAAAGTCTGGCTTTCACTCGCGGAGGGAAAGGGAGCAACTCAAACCGTAACTCTAATAGAGTTTACCACACCGCGGACAAGTGCTACCATCGTTGCTGCTGGCCGTGGCTAAGATAAAAAAAAAATTCAACTGTAAGGAGACTTCCGAGGGGTGTCCTATGATTTTGCAACGGCTACAAAACTAAAAAAATTGTCTAAAAATACGGAAAACTATTCGGATGATCTGGCTACTTGTTTGTATAGGTTTTTATAGAGGCGGTTCTGATTCTACCAGTTGCGATAGACGGCTTTTTTTAGAAGCCGAGATATTCATTGGACACACACCAATCATAGGACACCCCCCATTTTTGGGGGTGTCCTATGATTTTGCAACACACTGTAGAGGAAGTTCTACCGGGTGGAAAGTCTCCAATATCAGTCTTTTTTTCAGGGCCACGGCTGTCCTCACCAACTTTATATGTGGAATGATGGGACCCGGCTGCTTCTCAGTTGCATTGTCTTTCAAAGAAGCCGGCCTTTGGGTGAGTTCAACAATTAGTTTGGCTTCAATTCTAGCTTAGAAATTATTTTTTTGTGAAAAGTTCACATCGAAGCTCAGCGCACAGAGTAAAACAATTCTGCTTTCAGGCCGGCTTCGCCCTTGTATTCCTTATAGGTATTCTAAGTTTAATATCTATGTACAAACTTGTTCTCTGCTCGCAACATCTTGGGAAACTGTGAGTATGAGCAGGACTAACTCTTTCTGAAGATTATTGCTTTTTGGGTTTTGCAAAATGTCTTCTTACGCTTCAATTTTCTCAATGAAATTTTGATCATATAGTCAAATCACAGTCGTCTTAAATGTTGAGTAACGGGTATGACGAGCAAGAATTTCGGTGTCGAAGGCAAATCGGTGGACTATGGAAGCACGGCTGCTGGCGTCTTCCGTCATAGCTACACTTGGATCCGACCGTATGAAACACAAGCGAGGTATGTGGAATATGTTCCTTTATCGTTTTGGGACTACAAAGAAGGTGGAAACACCCAAAACATTTGATCAGTGCTGGACTTTTTCCGGTAAGTCTAGAGAAGAGCTGTCATGGATGGCTGGCTGAGAGCCGGTTTGTGCGGTAGCTTAGCTGCTTTTCCTTGCTCTAGCCTATCTCTACTCACCGAGAAAACGTGTTCATAGGTCCACACTTACCAGGAAAGGCATTCAACTTCCCATGGAACTTTGAATTGAGACCCAGATATATCGATAGAGCTTCAAACGCTGATTACAAATATGGAAACTAAAACTGCAAAATGAACCTGCCAAGGAAGTTGTGAGCAGTCAAAGTTGGCTGGAAGTAAAGCGTTACGTACTGCTAGCCTCCGGGCTTTCAAGTCGCCGTGGAGTAGTGGTAGTGCTCTCAAAATTTGCACTCCAACAGGAAGAGAACTTATGACCTCCCGGGTGGAGAGCGGGGCACTATCGCTACTCCGCGGCGACATTGAAAGCCTGGAACACAGCACGGTTCATATATGTAGTGCTTTCACTTTAGCCAATTTGACCGCTCACAACTTATTCGGCAGGTTCATTTTGCAGTTAGTCAATGTTTGCAATCAGCGTATTAAGGCTCCATCATATATGTGAGGTCTTCGTCAAATTCCTGGAAGTTGAATAGACTCCTGGTTAGTGTTCAGGAAAAAGCAGAATAAAGTCGTGATGACATTTTTTGAAAAAAAGGGGAACGGATGGATTGTATACAAAATACATATTACGACTCTTAGATGGACTGTGGGATGGCCTGATATAGCATTACCAGCTCGGCGTGGCTTGAGGTTGTGCTGAGTTTTTGTGTGATGCTATATCTTATGAGGTAGAATCAATGGATTAGGTGTTGGTTGGTATAACGTACATTAAAGGCTGAGGGGACAATATCATTGGGATGGTCGTAATCTCTTTGATAGAAATTTAACTCTCTATGCTTATCAAAGCGTATTTAACAAACGTATCTGGTACAGTGTGCAAAAAGACATCTGATAGAATAGGTGAAACGTATAAACGAAAGAAAAATGGCTGCTGCTGATCGCATGACATTAATACATTGTGCGCCGAATTGTAGGGGAATTTGGCTAGTTCTTTCTGGTTCGGCTTTTGTGCTTTTTGTTGGCTGGGCGATTTGTCAACCCTCCTTAGCCAAAGTACAACCAGTGTCGCACACCCTACTACTCTCGCTCGCAGCAGCGCTATAGCGTATCTCTCTAATGTGATTAACATATGTCAATGGCGCATCGTTGGCATGCTCGAATTACCTGGATTATTCAGGTCGTGATTGTCTGGGAAGCTGGCTCCAAGGGGCATATTATTTGTTGCTTTTCTTGACAATTGTGTGTGAACTTGATTAGAAATATTCGCATGATCACTTATTTGTCGGCTTGTGGTAATGTGATCATATTTCTAGCGATTGCTTTAGTTACCAGTAGGAACATATTGATACTTTCCAGTTACACTCAGAGCGAATGATGTACTTTCAGGAACTCATATTCCACGGAAAGTATTCACATCTCTCTTTACCGGCAGTGACAGACTTCAGCGGAGTGACGATCGCAGCTGGTGGTTTGATGTACGCTTTCGAAGGACAGGCTATGGTCAGAAAATATTATACGACTTGTTGCTTTGTACAGAAGCGTCAAACGGTTGTCTAGGTGCTTGCGTTGGAGAATCGGCTAAAAACGCCTTCGGACATGGTTGGACTTGCGGGGGTCCTCAGCACATCTATGAACGTTGTGATGCTGATCTATGCTTTTCTTGGTTTCTTTGGTTATCTGACATTCGGACCATCGGTCGCTGGCAGTCTCACTAATTCAATTACAATTGCAGGACCTTTCTGTGAAAGCATTACTATTAAATTGCCTTGTGGACGGCCAGTTGAAAGAATCGAATGTTCGATTTTGAAAACCTTTAGCAGGCTGAGGTGACAGTGAAACTCCTACTGGTGGCGAAAATCTTTCTTGGCTCGGCTCTTCAGCTCTACGTTATCATATCAATCCTTTCGCCATCTCTTTCGGCACGATTTTTCAAAGCCGCTCCACGACGGGCCATTATCAGCGAATATATTCTCCGTGTGGTGCTCACAATTTCTCGTGTAAGTATTCTGTTATGAAGGAATTTTCAAAACAATTCCGTGATATGTTCCTCGCCACCATTCTATCGAATCAATTTTCACTGAAAATAAGGTGCCTGAACGGCAGAGGGCTTCTGTCAGAAGCTCGTGGTAAGGGCGCCTTGCGAATGCCTTGGTGTCTGCGTCTCACCAATCCTTTGTGTTCTTTTCACCCACGACCTTCTTCATTTGCTTCGGCAGGCTGTGCTTCCTACACAGCCTGTTTCGTGAGCACTGAGCAAAATACTCGGGCCATACTTTCACCGTCGTTGATGCACACTTTTTGCTCTTTTCAAAGCAGCGAGTCAGTCCGCCTTGTGCCATTCACAATAGGTATCACGACCCCTACCCCCTCCCTTGAGGGAGCCGCTCGATAGCTCCTCTCCATTCTCCGATCCACGGCTATCCACCACAAACATGGCTGACGATACGCTCAAGCGCTACTTTCCCTATAAAGGAGCCGAGGAAGGCAGCGTATTGGATTATGAGCGAGGGCAGATCTTCTAATTTGGGCAGCTGACGAAGTTATTACGGAAAATTCCGGAAGAGTCGTCAAAAGAGACCCCTTCAACTTCCATGAACACGTCCTCCTTTTTCGACGTTTCGGCTGCTTCCTGCAATTCCAAATCCCCCCCTCCTCCCTCCAGAGAAGCTCCGAGTGTCCATAGCGCAACGCACGAATGAGCTTGCAGGCAAGACAGTAACCACGCAATGCTTTCTAAGCCACATAACATGGTCGCTTAGCTATTTTGGAGTTTGACTTTGAGGAAGCATAGACTCAAGAACAAATTTGTCTTTTTTCTGAATTATTTTTAGCAGTGGCGTTGCCGTCTGTGTCCCGAAGGGCTGTACGATATCATTCCGTTGGTAGGAATCACTGCAGGAATGCTTCTTTCACTTATTCTGCTGCCGTTCTTTCACACTCTTCATGTTTGTGCCAATAGTTTTCTCGAAGGAAAGACGCATTCTCAGAGCGATGTTCTTTGGTCATCGAAAACACGACGTTGTTCGGATTGGGATGGACGTTCCTTGCAACTGGATTATATTCGAGTATAAAATCCATTGTTTCATCATTAATAAGAGATTTTTTCAAAAAAGCCGACTTTGTGCACACGGACATGAAGAGCAGTATTAGCACAATGCTCAAATTTTTGAATCGCTTCAAAATTAAGATGCTATGATTTATATACCCCACCAATTGAATGAAAATGGTAACGGGTGGGGGGAGAAACCATTCACAGAATTCGTTGCCAAATCTGGTTAGTGGAGACCTGTACTTAAACCTTGCGTGATTATTTCAACCCTTTAGCTCCGTTCGAACGTTTACTGTGTTGCCAAAAAATATTAGGTTTTGGTGGATTGGATGAATGATTTATAGGTGATTCAGAATAAATAATAGATGCAGTTGGGTAATTCCTATATCCAAATCTGAGAACCGCGCTTTAAATAAGCACTGGGTTCGCCTGCAAGGAGCGGCGCCAGGTTGGGCGTAGATGTTAGCTAACAGACGACCGCGTTTCGCTGCGCCACTGTGCAGGCCAAAACCTAGGTAAGCTAAGCAGCCCAAACCTGGAGAGTCGCATGTCCCATAGGAGGCCCATAAGTAGGACTGGCGCGCGATGTCACCTACCTCTATGTGACGGACTTTAGATGATCTACTGGCTAGACTACTATCCTTATACTGTCAGTAGGATCACAAATCAATTACCACTCCGGCGCTGCATACGTAACCGCGTGGCGCAGGAGCGCAGTTGCGGGCTTGCGCCACTTTAGGCCGATGTCATAGTTTGCGAATCGAGCGATTCGCTAGCGAATCGCTCGATCCGAGCGTTGCGCCAGCGAATCGAACGTTGCACCAGCGAATCGAACTTTGCGCCAGCGAGTCGAACGATGTACCAGCGAGTCGAACTAGGTACCAGCGACTCAATAGTGGCGGGACCCAACGTTTAAAGGAAGCCCGCCACTTTCAAACAGTGTCACGTGACAGTGGACGCTGTTTGAAAGTGGCGGGACTTGACAGTGGACACTGTTTGAAAGTGGCGGGCTTCCTTTGAACGTTGGGTCCCGCCACTATTGAGTCGCTGGTACATCGTTCGACTCGCTGGCGCAAAGTTCGATTCGCTGGTGCAACGTTCGATTCGCTGGCGCAACGCTCGGATCCAGCGATTCGCTAGCGAATCGCTCGATTCGCAAACTATGACATCGGCCTTAGCGCTAAAAGGGGGACTTGTAATAACTTCGTATATCGGCGGCGTCGCAGCAATCCAAATGGAAGCGTCGTAGGTTCGCTGTGGTCTAAACGACTGCTCACGTACCATTACAATCTAAATCAATATACAAGTTCAAGAGGGGGCAAGAAAGTCCCTCTGAGCTGTATAGAGAGTTAGTAGAACGTTTATGTTGACGCCGGTTTAAATGCCACAAAGCCCTTATGTTGCGAGATAGCGCCTGCTGTAGGGGAATGGATTGAAGTGGTTGAAAATTGTTGCAAACGGAAATAAAGAGTCAATGGGAGATTAATATGTGACAAGAAATTGGCGGAGCAAGGCCGAAGAGGCCGGTAGAATGTAAGATGAACAAATTTTGAATTAGGCGAAAAAACTATTGAAATCTATTGGAGTTATAGTTGTGCGATGTAGTGCAGGGGCGATTAAGCCGCATTAGTCTTAATTAAAAAACACACGATACAGATTAGGACGATTCGATTCTTCATGGGCGGCAGGCAACAAATCAAATACGTGTCTTCCACTGAGTATCATAATCGCAATATCGACATACTCGCCTACGGCCTGATCGCCTGATCGCACGTCGATACCACTATGAACATTACAATAATATTCTGCTCTGCGAATTCGTGGGCTCCTAGAAATGGAGAGGTGAAATAGGGGTAAAAATAGTTAGGGATTGTAAGGGATTTTTCGCCCCGGTTTTATGGGAGTATAAACCTCCCGCCCCCCCCGCTCGATGGATTTTTATTATTTTTTTTGGGGTAAAAATGAAAGTGAGCAACGATGGCCGACCTGGCCTGGAAAACGCAGGGAGAGAGAGTACTGGTGAGAAAAATCCAGTGACGATTCAAAACAAAGAGAGGGATAACATATCTGGCTTACTGATATGAATACGGAATGAGAAGTTCAGTTGCTAGAACTCGCATTCGGCAACCGGTTGAACAATAGGTAGGCTTCATTTCATAACAAAGTTTTATACATATGTAACGCCTTCAATCCACCGTTGGAAGCAGTGTTCTCGTGAATGTCAGAGCTGTCGATTTGGTGGCATTCAATAAAAAAAACACGCCTAATAATTTGCTCATCATGACGATAGTATTTGGCTCATATTCACTTTAGTATGCACCTAACCTCCCACCCATTGTGGACCAACCATGTTGTGGTTATCCGGGACCGGCCTGCAAATTGAAACTTACGCAGTGTTCATAGTTGGCGATCGTACGTGCGATTAGGCGATTAGTCTATAATGAAAAACATACGTATAGATTAGGCGAGTAGGCGAGTAGGCGATTAGGCGATCGCTCAATGGGCGGAGCAACAAATCAATACGTATCCTTCCCTTATCGCCTACTCGCCTACTCGCCTAATCGCCTAATCGCCTAATCGCACGTACGATCGCCAACTATGAACACTCCATTAATTTTCAGACACTTCCAAATTCAAGTGAGTATTTGAGATTTTAACTATTAGCTATTTTAACTAGAAATGTACTCGTGAACGTAAAATAGAACTATATTAGAGAAAAGAGCGACCAGTCCTAGAGTATGGCCCCATCTTCCAATTGCGCCGGAAAAAGTAAAGAAAGCAAAGAAATGTATTGTTTATCAATTACGACAGCTCGGGAAGTTTGATGGAGCGTTTATAGTTGGCGATCGCACGTGCGATTAGGCGATTAGGCGATTAGGCGATGATTCAAAAAGAAAAGTATACGTATCGATTAGGCGATTAGGCGAGTAGGCGATTAGGCGAGTAGGCGAGTAGGCGATAAGAGAAGGATACGTATTGATTTGTTGCTCCGCCCATTGAGCGATCGCCTAATCGCCTGATCGCCTATTCACACGTACGAGCCAACTCTGAACGCTCCATGAGCGATTCGGTGAGCAAACGAACTGGTACATAGTGCACCACTGGACATGGCAATATGTTCAGAACTCAGATATTTCTGTTCTTCAGCTCTGAAAAATATTTCAGGAACGGACAACACTCCTTCAAGCACCGTCTCGCGAACGGATGGCCCACTAGCAATGTTATCATCAACTCAAACAGCAGAAGCAGAAATCTCAGTCGTAGCAACAACAACAACACCAACATTCTTAACAACAACACCACCAGCAACAGTCCTTAACAACAACAACAACAACGCTCGTTCCCAAGCAGAAACTACTAAAAGGTCGGGTGCAGACCAAACACCACAACGGCACCATTGAGCTATTACAACCCCAGAGGGGGTGAGATGGATCAAAAAATTTTTTTCGCTGAAAACTTGCGCTAGGGGGTTATCGAGGCTCCTGATCACGAATATGACCTTAGTTTTGGCTCAATTTCTCTAGGTGACGCTCGAAATAGATGTCATCTAGGCGCTCATCCAGTAAGGGGGCATCAAGTGGCTGCCCTCACCCCCCACCCCCCTGAACTGGCTTCACTCCCCCTGGCTCACGGGGTCCCGTACTTCGAGAAACCTGTGTGCCAGGGGGAGTGTAGGCAGTCTAGGGGGTGGGGGGTGAGGGCAGCCACTTGATGCCCCCCTTACTGGATGAGCGCCTAGATGACATCTATTTCGAGCGTCACCTAGAGAAATTGAGCCAAAACTAAGGTCATATTCGTGATCAGGAGCCTCGATAACCCCTATCCACAAGTTTACAGCGAATTTGGTGAGAACACCCTTGGCGCCAATTGGCGCCAAATGGCGCCAATTTGGCGCCAGCGCCAAAAACTAAGGTCATATTCGTGATCAGGAGCCTCGATAACCCCTATCCAAGTTTACAGCGAATTTGGTGAGAACACCCTTGGCGCCAATTTGGCGCCAGCGCCAAAAACTAAGGTCATATTCGTGATCAGGAGCCTCGATAACCCCCCTAGCGCAAGTTTCAGCGAAAAAATTTTTTGATCCATCTCACCCCCTCTGGGGTTGTAATAGCTCAATAGTGCCGAATTTCAACAATAATTACTAAAGAGTTGGGAAGTCGTCAGCGAAACAAAAGTTAGCTTTTCCCTTAAATCCCATCCCCTCCCTTAGGCTCAGTCCCAAGTACTGTAAATGGCTCACTCACCTGAAAACACACACGCAGAATTTTCCAACAATATACGACCAACAAATGTTTGTATCTTCAGTTTCAGTGAAAAGCGTACTTCCCACTTCTCAATGTGCTTGGTGATCCAACACAGCAAGTAGCGATCGCAGGAGCTCTTTTCTTCGTCGTTGGCGTAGGATTGGGGGCTGTGTTATGGATGTTTGTGGAACATAGAAGACATGCCAAAAAATTGAAAACTTTTGAAAGAGCAAGAAGCCGCATCCAGAGCGGCTAAGGCTAAAGCTAAAGCTTCAGCTAGAGCCAAGAAACGAAAGGTATCTAAGTAGAAGCTCATGGAGCGTTCATAGTTGGCGATCGTACGTGCGATTAGGCGAGTAGGCGATAGGCGGGGAAGACTACATACGTATTGATTGGTTTGCTCCGCCCATAGAGCGTTGTAGGCGAGTAGGCGAGTAGGCGATAGGCGATTAGGCGATCGCTCAATGGGCGGAGCAACAAATCAATACGTATCCTTCTTTATCGCCTACTCGCCTACTCACCTAATCGCCTAATACTCGCCTAAGTGCATGTATGATCGCCATCTATAAACTCACTATTAAAAGATCGTCTATGGATTTTTTTATAGATAAAGAAAATTATGAAACAGAGAAGACATAAAAAACCACCGCCACCAGTGAAAGCGAGCAAACTGGTGCGTTCCTAATTTACGTACACTTGCTTCAGGGATGAATATGTTTTTCAGTTGAAAAAGACCCTTGCACAATTTCTGGAAAGCCAAACCCAGAGTATAGCGTCG